ACAAAATTCACTTTCCTCTGCAGTGATTCAAGTGACACAAGGGACACTCCACCCTCTGGGAAAGAAGAAACTGCCACAAAGATGGAGAAGAACGATGCAAGCTTCAGCAAAGAGAGCAACAGGTTCCCTGTCTACCTTTTCCAGAATGTTTTCTGCAGAAGCATTGCTCAGGGAGAAAGTTAAGTGAAGGGAGGGTTAAGTGAAGAGCAGAGAAGTGCTGAAGTTGCACATAGTGCAGTTGTTGTGCAGGGCAGTACAGGCACAGCAAGGAAGGAGGACCAGTGTGCAGCCAGGACCCAGCCAACAAGGACAGGGGGACACTTATCTGCTTATTAAACAATTCCCACCAAGTTTGCCCAAGACAGTGTCCTCAGGGAATAGGTAAAGGTCTGACCCACTCATTCAGAGAGGTGCAAACCAAGCTATTACACCAGTTACAGTGGCTTTTGCTACAGGGCACAGGCATGGCTCAGCATAACAGGCTGGCAAATGCACTCACAGTTTCTCCATCCTCAGTTGCTCCCAGTCCTTTGCCCCCCTTTCACTCGCTCTTTTGTTGCAGCAGGATCCCCAAAAAGAGCTTTGTGGAGGTGACTGAGCTAACGGACATCAACTACACCAGTAACTTGGTGCGCCTGAGGCCAGGGCACATGAACGTCGTCCTGATCCTGTCCAACTCCACCAAAACCCCCCTGCTCCAGAAGTTCGCCCTGGAAGTCTACATGTTCACAGGGTAGGCTGGGCCCTCTCCCAGGCTTCTGTTGCTGCATTAACCACTTTATGTGATGCTGTTCTGATAATACGTGAGGAGCATGGGTGGCTCCATTGCCAGGAGTGAATGCTTCTGGTGATTGTAGTGGCCTCTGCCCTCAGCAGTGGCAATGAGCCACCAAAAATCAAGAGGCTGTTCCCAGCTGGACTTGACGGTGGTAGCTAGAGGGGTCAGATGCTGGTGCTGCTTTGACTGTACCGTGTTTTGACAAATAGAAAGCATGACAGTGCTGCATACACTGAGCTGAAAAAGGAGCTGCAGCAACAGAGCACTGCCCTGCCCTTGTTGATGATTCCTTACCTGTCCAGTAGGAATCCAGCCACACCCAGGACATGTGCTAATCCCAGTATCTTTGCTCTTCCCCCAGGAGCAGCTCTCTTCACTTCTCCTTCCTCAGCCTGGACAAGCACCGGGAGTGGCTGGAGTACCTGCTGGAGTTTGCGCAGGATGCAGCCCCCATCCCAAACCAGTACGACAAGCACTTCCTTGAGCGTGACTACACAGGCTATGTCCTGGCTCTGAACGGCCACAAGAAATACTTCTGCCTCTTTAAGCCTCACAGATCAGGGGACGAGGGGGGAACCCTGGGATCATGCGAGGATTACGATGCTTTACAACATGCGGAAGCCAGAGGGAAATCCTCCTGCAGTCCGGGATCCAGATCCATTAAAAACAAATTACACAAATTGTCCTTTTGGATGGAACGCCTTCTAGAGGGTTCCTTACAGAGGTTCTATATCCCCTCATGGCCTGCACTAGACTGAGGAATTTTACAGAGATTCTAAGGGGACAAACTTTTTATGAAGATGACAAGGGACAGCTCTTTCCAGGAATACTCAAACAAGCTTGATGAATGGACCTTAGGTTTTAGGTGAACTTTCCTGGGGCCGGCAACGAGAACACCCCTCGCGTGTCCGGAGCCCGGGAGCGCAGCCAGGCGCACCCGCGTGCCCTCCACCGCCCCGCCGTGCGTTTGGACGCTCTACAACCGAAGAGCCAAGAAGTCTGTTCTGCCCTTCTCGTCCTGCCACATCTGCTTCCCAAGTCGCCCCATCCCACCTCTTGTTTTACCTTGGTTGAAGAAATCCCCGATTTCCCGGGTCCGGACCAGCTGCGGCCAGTGACGCAGGCCGGCTCGCGGTACTCCCTCCCCGTCCCCGTGTGCTTAGCCCATGGTGCATGGTGTAACTCTGGCAAGACCCTGCAGACCCTCCAGGCCCTGCCCTTCTGAAAGGCCTCCTCCCACCAGGCAGTGGTTCTCTTTCGGCTTTCCCCATGGTAAGTGATGCAGAATCTGGTTAGGAGCATCTCCCTTGTAGCAAACCTTAGCTGGGACCCCCCCCCGTGGTGCGGGCTCGTGGGCAATCTGCATGTTTCATGCTCCTCGTGTCATGGTTCCACCTGCAGCTTCACTGGCTGAACCATAACAGGGAGGGAAAGGGCACGGCCGTAAAATACTTTCAAAGTGTTGAGTCATTTAAATGTCACGTTGATTTTTCAGATGCCTTTTCTGCTTCTGTCGATTTTAGACGATGTATCCTAGAGCCATAACTTTACCTGCGTCCTCAGATTGTAGGCGTGAGCTGCTATGAGCCAGTAGATGTGTAAAAAACTCTACGTAGCTGCCAGGGAGTCACTCGAGCTCCTTGCAAACACCTTTCCAGCTGTAGTACAAAACCAACCTTCCTTTGTATCAAGGAACCTCATCCTTCAACGATTGTATTCTTGAAATGTTGCCCCAGAAGTGCTGTATCATCAGACTGTTGCGTGTGTGTGAAGCTCCTTTGGTTTAGTTGGGGGTTGAAATGTTGGGTTTCAGCCTCTCACCCATTTCCTTCTTACCCCAAACCTCCATTTCTGCACATTCAGGCTGCTCCCGTGGCTTTGTGTTTGTTTGCTTGGGTATTTCTTTCATCTTATGGAAGCATTGGGGGTGTGTGTGGTTAGAGCAGCTGCACAGCCCTGGGTTTGGACAGTGCTTTGTTGTAGCAGTGCCCCAACAGCTGCTTCCAGCATCACAGGGAAAGGGTGCCCCTGGGTAAGGCAGAGGGAAGACAAGCAGCAGCCTTGTGGCTGCTTAGCACTCTTTGAGTGACCAAGTGAGGCAGCAGGGCTTCTCTTTGTGGCAAGGACTGAAATCCTGTGAGGTTTGCTTTTCCTTTTCACTGCTCCGGGGGTTGACACTGGCACGCAGGCCTCCTCCTTCCAAGGATCTGGAGCCCTGTGGCACCACTGGGCTCCAGCACTGCCAAAGGACAGGGATGGGGGCCAGTGGCCTTTGCCACAGGGCTTGGAACACAGAGCACTCAGTAAACACATGGTGTTAATTCCAGACTCAGCCCTTGCCACCTTAGTTACCATCTTAGCAGAGCAGCCAGTTAGTAGGAATAACTGCCAACCCCTGAGCTAGCTGCTGGTCCTGCACAGAACCCAGGAATGCTCCAGTCATTGCACTCCCCACATGCCCTAATTGCTCCCAAGGCCTTGCCTCATTGCATTTCCCCATCCCGGGAGCAGACTGGCATGCTGCAACCCCCACAGGTACCTCAGATCCCCTGTACAACGTGCTTCAAATAAAGGCTGCAATGCTACAAATGATCCCCATGTGAGATTAGTTAATTCCAGCCCAGTGCACTCTGGGCCACGGAATGAGGCACTAAAGTAGAGGGAAGGAAGGAAGGTGAGGTCTTCTCCCTGCCCAGGAACTGCTGTGAAGCTCCTGTGAAGGTGTACAGGCAGCACTGACAGAGAGCAGAGAGGGAGTGAAATACCAGCCTGATGCTTCTAGACTTCATTTCCATCTGGCTGAAGCAATCACTGCAGCACTCCTGCACTTTTCCCACAGCTTGCCATGCAGGATGTGGTTGGAATAGTTTTCAGCCCAGCAGAAGGCTCCACATAACATCTTAAACATTTGCAGTAGCAGAAGAATGCTCTCTGGCTCTCTGCTGTTTCTTCAGCTGATCAGAAACAAGGAGAAAACTCTCAACTCATTAAAAAGTGCCTAGTTATGCTACAGCGAGGGAATTCAGCCCAACCCTGAGGAAGAGGAGAAGGCTTTATGACCTTCACATCCATTGTGTGTGGTGCACGCTGCCAGAATCCTTGGGTTTATTTTCTTTTTAGCACAGGTAATGTCCCCTTTCAGCCAGGGTTCAGCTGAGGGAGTGCTTGCATCAGTCCACCTGTGCTGGCTGGGGCTGGACAGGGGCACAGCTCCTGGATTTTTATGGAAGCTTTTGCCTGATTTGAAGCAAAAGCCAAGCTGCTCTGTCCCTGATTTAGTTGGCTGCAGTGCCAGCATGGCACTCCAGGTGTTTGCTGTCCTGAGACCACAGTCAGAGCTGCTTACCCCGGGATCTGCCCTCTCCCAGCAGCAGGAGCCATCACCCCATCATTTTCTGAACACTTGTGGTTCTGTTCCACACACGGTGATTTGTAATCCAAAGATTGAGGAGATTGGGTCTTAGTGCACTTTCCTAGTGAGATCTGAGCGATGGCACAGTGCTCAGAGCTGAGGCAAAGGGATACAGGCCCCAGAGTGGAGATTGTTCCCAAACTCCTCCCTGTCCCTGTCTCTGCCCTTCACCCACAGCAACCAGGAGCCAGGACACGAGCGCAGCCTGACAAGTAGGACTGAGAACTAGGTACCTATTTTGCACTTTTGATACTGGGAGGGGGGGAATTAACTTATTTGGCAAACTTGTCTTTTTTATTTTTGGGGGGTTTTGTTTTGTTTTTGTATTTGTGAACAGGCACTGATGTCATTTTGTTTTAAGACAATTACAAAATAAACTATTTTAATGTGTGATGCGGTGGCTCCGTGTCTCCGTGTACAAACTAACCTCACCTCCCTGTCCTCTCAGAAATTTCAGGAGAGTTAAACTGCTCCTGCCATAGGAAACTCCTGGTTATTCCACCAGCAGGCAATCTAGTCAAATATTTCCCCACTCTCAGCAAGTCTCAGGCCCCCTTCACGTTCTCCCTTCTTCTACATTCATTGTCCTTCTGCAACATCCTAATGGGACAAACCCTTTACCAGTGACAGCTTTTCCAGGAGCCCTGTGAGCTGGGTGAATCAATCCAGAGGCAAAATGGCATTAGCCTCATCTATGCCTTTCCCAGGCCAGCTCCAAAGCTCCAGACCCCAGCTAAATGGGGTGTCTAGCCTGTTCCCTGCAGTTTCCCAGCTAAAAAGTACCTTTTCTAGTGGTTAATGGCATTTATTTCATGCTGCAAAGCCCATGCTGGCTGCAGCTGCCTGAAGGGAAGGGGACATGGAAAGCCTGGCTGAGGACACGGAGAAGCATTGCCCCAGGGCAGGTGGGAACTGCCCTCACAGTGTCTTCACTCCTGGGAGGACACACAGCATCTCAAACAGTAGGTTTGCCCCCAGGAGAGCTGTATTGCCTAAAAACACAAGAAAAATAAAGGAAATCTGTGTATATCCAACAGCTTTCACCCACAGCCATCTGTGTCAGGCACTTGTCTTGCCCTCAGGCACCTTCAGACTCACCAGAGACATCGTATATTGGTGCGACTTCCACAAGATCACACCCCACTATGTTCAGGCCTTTGCAGCCACGAATAATCTCCAAAGCCTAGGGGAGAAAATGGATTTGGGATCAAGAAACACATCTGACCTAGCGGACTGGTCCGGGCTCTGCTTTCCCGATATTCCAGTGGGGAAACCCAACCTCTACAGACCAAATCGTATCAGTTCCACATTTTCCTTCCTCATGACCATGAGGAAACACTTCCTGGCTCCCTAAACTTCCACTTTGCTGTGCTGGTGAAACGACCTCCTTTGAAGGGAGCAGAAGAGCCGTTTCCCCCGGGCAGGGCAGCGTGTGCCCTCACCTGCGCAGGTGTGAGCCCGGCGATCTCCGGCGTGCCGGTGCCCGGGGCGTAGGCGGGGTCCAGCGCATCGATATCGAAGCTGATGTACACTGGCTTGTCCCCCATCTGCGCCCTCACCTCCCTCATCAGCGGCTCCAGGGACTTCATCCAGCACTCCTCAGCTGGGACCAGGCGGAAACCCTGCGGGAGCACAGACACACAGGCACCTGCTTAGGGAAAGGAGGGAGGCGAGGAGCATCCCCTGCCCTGCTGGGGAATATCTACCGGGAACATCCCAAGGCAAAGTGCACCTGGAAACACCTTCCACTCCTCACACACACTTTCTAACCCTCCACTCAGCTGACACGCAGTGAGCCGGGAGTGCTTGTCCTGCAGACAAGCCGCTGGCATGGAAAAAGAGGCAAAAAATGCATTTATTCCCCTTCCGAAGCTGAGTAAATGTTACTGACGTGGTATTCATGGCAGGGGGAGCACACAGCTATGTGTGCGGATCGGTTTACCTGTTCCCGGCAGTACTTGTGGGGATCGGGATCATAGGAGGAGCCTCGGATGCCGATCTGCACCACGCGGCCGCAGTCCAGCAGCCCTTCCTCCACACCGCGCCGGAACGGGCTCCCGTGGTAGAGCCTCTCGCCCAGAGCCGTGTCCCCGGTGTCGGTGTGGGCATCCACGTGCACCAGTCCCACGGGACCGTGCCTGGTCGAGACAGGGTGGCCGCGCTAGTCCTGTCCCGCGCATGGTGGCCCTGCCAACAGCAGGGACAGCGAACCTGAGGCTCTTTCCCAGGTCCTGTCTCTCCATCTCCAGATTAGAAACTTACTTTGCCGCCAGGGCCTGCAGGATTGGGTATGTTATGGTGTGATCTCCACCTGCAAGAAGACACAGGGAAGAGGGGGAGTACACTATACGAGCTGCTCAGCACTCATTACTTTTGTTCCCAAGTAATTTTTTCCCTCTTTGCATTTATCCTGCAGTTATTTATGCAGGGCTTCATTGCCAAAGGAAAACACTTCCATGTGCAGGTTGATTCCTCTCCTGGGTCCTCTCTTCTCCTGGTCTTCCTTCTAGGGAGGACCAGATACGCAGGGCTACCAGCAGGGACAGCCTGTGGCGCAGAACCCTTGATTGGGCATATAAATAGACATTTGATCAGCTTCTGAGCACGCTGTAACTGGTGACTGGCCCCTCGTTACTCCACACACTTGCTGCCTTCAGCGATGCCAAGCACTAACAGCTGCAAACTTGAACATGCACCCAAATCAGGCCTCGTGCAAAGCCTGGTGCTCACTCAGCTGGAGGGACACAAGGGACAAAACCTGCTCTTGCAGGACACCAAAACCTGCTCAACAGGACACCAAAAACACGTCACTGGTTTTATTTGCCGACAGACTCATCCTCCTCATTTTTGACCCAAAGGAAGAGGCATCAAAGAACATTCTGTTCAGTGGCGAGCCTGTGTTTTTGCCCTTGATACAGCACAACAGCCCAGGCAGGGAACAGATTCATCGCTTGCCTTCTGCCAAGCCTGGACTGAATGACAGGAGAAGCAGAGGGAGTTTGACGGAGCCAGGACGCAGTGGCAGGACAGGGAGGCACAGGCTCCTTACCCATGGTGAGGGGCACGCAGCTGGAGGCCACGATCTGCTGGTAGGCCTCCCGGATGAGGCGGCAGCTGTCGGGCAGGTTGTAGAGGTTCACGTTCACGTCCCCGATGTCGGCCACCCGCAGGGAGTCGAAGGGCGCCGCGCCGGTGCTGCCGTTGTACCTCCTCACCATGGCCGACTCGGCGCGGATCTGACGCGGGCCGAACCTGGACGATCACGCTGCTGGGAAACGCCACCAGGCATTGCTCCCAGCACCCCTCTCACCACAGGAGAGCCACGCCCGATGGCCAGAGGGAAGCATGAGCTCCCCTGGCTGGCCCTTACCTGGCTCCCGGGCGGTTGGACGTGCCTATGTCCAGCGGGACACCGACAAACGCTACGTCCAGTCCCTCCGCGGACGCCTGCATGGGAAGCCTCATCATGGAGCAGACCCCCGCAGGCCGGGCCACGAGCAGGGCACTGGGGGGCACGTTGAACTGCGAGCTCCAGCAGCTGGGGGCTCTGCTCCCTGGGGCCAGGGGCTGGAGGAGCCCTGCAGACACACTGGCTGGGGAGCTGGAGGTGGCCAGGAGAGCCGGAGGCCAGAGGCTGTGGTGTGATGCGGCCACCACAGTGGTCACAGCTGGCTTGGGAGCGCAGAGCCCAGCTCCCCGGGGCAGCAGCTGGCTGCAGGCAGCCCAGAGCAGAGGCCTCATCCTGACTCACACTCCCACCCTCTCTCCACTGGGAACGCAGCGAGGCGTGCTGTGGAGCCCGTTCCCAGCTTGGGCAGAGTGCCAGCTGCCTCTGCCAAGCCTCCCTCCGGGGATCAAAGTGCACCGGACACTCCACTGCCCAGGGAAGAGCAGAAATCCAGCCCAGCCTCCACATTCACCCTCTCAGCCACCCCCTTTCCCAATGGCATAGTCCTGGCAAACACTGGGAACAAACACAGCAGTGAGGGGCAAGAGCCTGTGCAGGGATTAGTGGGACAGGGTGGGAGGGACATGCTGGGAGATGTTCCAGTTTGCTCCCTTTGGGCATTTACAGACAGCACAGTAGCATTTGTTACATTAACAGCCTGTACTTTTAACCTGCACTCCACAAAAGCACCCAGAATGCTGAAAAATCATAAAAATGTCTCGTTAGTGGAAGGCAGAAGGGAAAGAAAACAAAAGGGAAGTCTGACCTCAGCAGAACCATAGAGGGGGACAAAATGCAAGCAACAGGGGAAGCATTAACAGGGATTTAAGGACCTGGGGGACAAGCTGCAAGACAAGCATTTTAGGCCATTTTTGAGGACAGAATTGAAACTGTTTCCAGGGAAAGCAAGTTTCCAATGAAGTGGAGTTCATCAGTGCAGATAAAACCCTGGCTGGGCAAATACAAACACCCTCGATACTGGATGGCTCCAGCCCGTAATTCTGCTCCCTACTTGTACAGAGACTGGACCTAGGAGAGGGAGGGAAAGGCAAGGGAATGATGTTCATGGCAGAAAGAGGGCTTAGGGTAGAGATCCACACAAAGCAACAGCATTTACTCCTCAAAAGCTCCACAGTGTCCTGAACATGGGATTCACTGCCAGACCCAGGCACACACAAAGCAAAGGCAGCAGAAACATACTGCAAGAGCTCAGTAGTGTAAGAAACAGCACCAGAAACTTTGCTTGGGTCAGATCAATGTTATAAAGGTCTTTTTTTGCAGCTTTCACCCCCAAGAGCTCATTTCCCCAACTCCCCAGGCTCTGCACTCTTTGCTGCACTGGAACAATGTGTAGAACCCTGAGTGCAGGTTACCCTGTGGTGATTAGGGGTATCAGCTACTGTCATCCACCTGGAAACTGCAGGAGCAGACAGTGATTTACCATGCAGCAGAGTACAAAACACATCCCCACAGCACGGTCTGTTCCTCTTTGGGACATTCCCCTTGGAGTAGAACACCATGTTCCACAGTTAGCACTGGAAAGAGCTGAATTTGCACCTAAGACACCCCGGAACCAATGCTCCACAGCCCAAATTGGATTGAGAGAACCCACACAGCCACATTAAATCTTTAATTTATTGTGCAACAAGCATAAATAACTTTCTCCCCAAGTTCCTCCCAACACAATTATAGCCATGAAATTGAATGCTGTTTCATAAACATGGCTGTTGTTATTTAAAGATTGATGTCTCCGTCTTCCCCATCAAAGGATATTATTTCATTGAAGGAAACACAGGCAGGTAAAAGAGCAGAGCATTACACTAAGCTCTTTAAGCAGGGGCTACTGCCCAACCTCACTTTGTTTGGAGCATTATCCCTAAGTGGAGAGTCTGACTCAGCCTTGGACCCCAGGGCAGCCACCACCACAGAGCTACAACAGCTAAGAACAACGATAAGCGGGATTTGAGGATGATGTGCTTCCACTATCCTCGTACAACTGCGAGGTTTTTAGTGCTGCTGACGCTCACGTTACCAGGCAGCACCTCATCAGGAAGTGTTCAGGCTGTCATTTCACAGCTCAGAAGAAAATGAGTTTCAAACCACCCTGGTTACCCCAAGAACAGAGACTGCAGCTCCCTTTGTCAGCTTGGATTTCTGTGTGTTGTTTAAATTGTTTCTCTGTAAAATGCAGCCAGACAGTGCCTCCTCCCAGTCACCCCTCTGAAAGGAATCTGCTTCACTCAACACACAAAATCAATTAATTCCCAAATGGGAGCAAAACCAACCACGTACCTCTGGACACCTGCAAGGTCCACACTCCCACCCCACCAGAGGGTAAGGAAGCAAGGGCATCTCCTCTAGCAGGGGCAGAAAAGCAGCATGGTTAACTCTTGCTAGAGAGAACTCAAGCTCCTAACACAGGCCTGCAGCTTGTTCCCTAAAGCACTACAGGACTCCAAACAGACAGAAAGGACAGGTTCCTATGTGCCTTTAGAAAGTGCCATTTATGTGGGATGCTTGTGTTCCAGGTGGTTCCTTCACCCAGAGTGGCTTCTCCACGCCAGCAACAGGAATATTGCTGCCCAGAGGTCTTCAAACTCGAGGTTTGCCAAGAAGCACATCTTCATTTTGGTTTCTACCTGGCTCTTCTCTGCCAGCCTGCTGGTGAGCAGGGTGGCTGCAGACTGGCAGAGCAGCCAGGCGATCATCTGGTCAGGTTTCAGGGTCCTGGATGCCACAACACTGTCACCCCAGAGGCTCAGGTGCAGCACGTTCGCAGCCACTCTCGCAGACAACCTCTGCAAGGGCAAAGGGAGGGAAGGGGAGGGAGATTAGCTGATCCTGCTGCACTCGGCCACATCCCCAGCACGGAGCATTGGCACCTCCAAAACTCTCTGGGGCCCCCCCCAAGGCAACACCCTGTGAATCAGAAAGCTCTTTGACACTACTACTGTATATATATAGTGTTGTGTGGAACCCTCCAGTGTGAGGTCAGGTCCTGACACAAACTTCTGAAACAGTTCAGCACCACTCAGCAAAGACATTTTTGGCTTTGATCCTTATCTTGTCCTTTGATCCTGCAGTCAGATCTGGACTAACCCCTGCACCCACAGCCCTCCAAGGCAAAATGATCCACCACAGGTACTCCCAAAGAGGATATCTTGAGGGCAACAGCTTCTTACCTTGTTGGGATCTCTCTGAAGCAGCATCTTTATCACCTGCTTCACCTCAAGGGGGACGTGGTTGGGCAGGCTTGGCAGCTGGTCCTCCAGGTAACTTCTGCTTTCCAGAGTGGAGTCCCCGTGGCCATAGAAAGGATTGGCCAGGCCCAGGATTTCGTAGGCAATTGCTCCAACAGCCCAAGCATCAGCTTTACTGTAGTTGATCACCATGCCTGGACCAGGTGATGCTGTGATCACCTGCCACAGAGAGGGAGCTACTCAACAGCTCGAGTGCAGCCTCTGTGCTGAAATTCAAGTTTTAATGCTCAAACCTGCATTTACCTGTAATGAACTTAGACACTGAACCCAAAGGTGGGCTGCATCTGAATCTGTGCTGTAAATATTCCCTATTGGCATGCTCTAAGCCTCTGGCACTGCTCAGCCCACTGGGATGCTGGGAGGAGTCTGAACATTGCACTGAGGCTTTAGCCATTGCCCCTGACCAGCATTCCCAGAGATCCAAGGGTGATCTCCTGCTGGAATTATGGAGACAGGAGACCTGCAGATGAACAATCAACACCATGGCAAGGTGCTCCAGGTCCAGCAGACAGTTAAGGGTGTCTTGGCTTTTATTATTTCTTATCATCAAAGAAATAAAAAGGAACTGTAAATAATTTCACAACCGTCTTGAACTTCAGCCAAAAGCTACTGTTGCAACACAAGGACTGCTGCATAAAATTTGTAATAGTTACATGGAAAGGGGCCTGAATAAAGATTAAAGTGTAAATTTGGGGGAGGGGAGGCTGATTCTCTTAACACCAACTGATTACGTTCCACCTGTTAAAGCTCAAGGTGTCTATCTGACATAGTTCAGCACAGATATTCACCAAGCCGAACTCAATGCAGAACACAAACCTTCTATGCCAACAAAACTTTTAGCCCCAACAGCAGGACAAGCAGAAAACCAGCACCACAAAGCACTGCCACAGAGGGATTTACCTCAGGTGCCATAAGGCAGCCATTGCCACCCCGATCCACATAGGAGCTGGTGAAGGGCAGCCTCAGGCCGATGCTTTCATCTGCCAAACAGCAGCCGAAGTCAGTGATGACCAGCCAGGGGCAGCCAGCTGTGAACAACACAGAGCTGCCAGTTAGGGTTCAGTTTGGGAGGACCTGGCAGCACCAAGCACCACATCACATCAACACCCAGCCTGGTGCCCTCTGCAAACTGACTGAGGGGGCATTCCATCCCCTCATCAAGATTGTGGGCAAAGACATTCAGCAGAGTAACCTGGTCTGGTGGGAGGTGTCCCTGTCCATGGCAGGGAGTTGGAATGAGAAGAGCTTTAAGGTCCCTTCCAACCCAGGCCATTTTTGATTCTAAAAATCAAAATCAAATCTAAAAATTTTGATTTTGATGTTATGATTCTAAACCCTGAGCCCCGGGGAACAGAGAATCCTCTGTCACCTCTTGGGCCAGTCTCCCAGAGGTAGGGTGGATTCCAGTGGTCTCTGTCTCTCTCCCAGATCCTGTTCAATCAAATTCTTCCCCTCCTAATCACACTGACCTGCCTGCCTCCTATTGCTCCTGTCAATTTGAAACTCAATCACATCAAAAAAGAGCTCAGGTAATTAAAACTGCTGTTAGAGGCTGACAGGAGAACACGCTGATGAAAATGCTGCATCCCTTCCCTCCCAACCCATGTTTCATCATCCCAGGGTGCAGCACCATTAACCTGGCCAAGGGGTGGGATTTTAAGAGGCTCCCTGTACTCTTTAGCTTGGGAAAGATGACAGAACCAAGAGCCTGAAGCAAAGGCTCCTGCTGCATCCCAAATGTGGTGTTCCCGGATGCTCCAGTCAATGCTGGCTGTGCTCATGCAATCCATCAGCTCACAGTACACTATGTCCATGTTAATGATCCAAAACCTCAGGCACAGACAGGATCAATGACTTGCTGCACTCATAGCAAATACTAAGCTAAAAACAAAACCTGTGCTTCTTTCCCCAGACACACAGCTGGGTGAGACTTCCCTGAACACCAGTGTGACCGAATCACTTCTGGGAATGAACTGGCATTTATCCTCAGGGATCTACGTACCAGAATCAAATTCAACCAGGATGTTGTCAGACTTGAGGTCTCTGTGTGCTATTCCATGTCGAACAAGGTGGTCCACACCTTCCAAGAGCTGCAGAATCATCACAGTGGAGAGGCGAACATCCGGAGTGTTCTCCTGCAGATACTGGCGCAGCGTGAACGGGTAGCTAGGCAGAACAAGGGGAAAAAAGGGAATTAGCATCCTGCAGGCTTATCACTGGCA